TAAAATGGGGCACATGGCTTATTGCAAACGGTGTATTGAGCATTGAAAATAATTCATAAACTCCGAATATGTGAAATGCAAATACCCAGAGTATCACTCACTGGCAGACGCCCCCCAGGGAACCATCACTTTGGCTTGCCTGGGGTCCCTGACTGGACACATGCCTGTCCCCCTGAGAGTTTCCTATTTGCACTTGGCTCTGAATCTTTGCAAGTGCCTTTCTGAAGCAGACTGAAATTTCTATAACATTCATTTAAACAAAATATATGCATATAAATAGAACATATTTATTAATTTCTATTTGAAAAAGCTTCCCATGTAATGTCAAGTATATTAAATTGGCCTAATTTAGTTCAAAAATATTTCTTTTAAGAAGAGAGAATAAATCCTTGAGTTACTCCAGGGCCCATTGGAATGACCCAAAGTCATCTCTTGGTTAAAGTCTTAACATTTTAACTTTTTGAAAGATTGTCAAATATACTTAACCAAAAGATTATATCATAAACTCTTTGTAAATCTAGGAAAAAACATATATTTTATGGTAGTAACTCTAAAAGACATTAATCAAACTTAAACCGGTTTTAATATTAAAAATTTTGTCCAGACCACAGAATTCTGCTTATAAGTATTTAATATCTTTTTAATCGGGCCAATAAAATATCATATCCTAGTAATGCCATCTGAGGCTGAAAATTTACCACATGTAATACACAAACACATACCAGAGGAAACGCAAGAATTATTTTCCTCAAAAATGAATTTCCATACTTCATGCATTCTATTATCACAACCATATAATTTATCCCAACTTAATTTGAACTTTTAACTCTTAGAAGCCTCAAATTTTAGGTGGCAATTGTTACTTAGCATTTCTCAGATTAGTAATACATTCACATTTTTAAGGATATATTTCAAATGAAATACAAGACATACTCAATTAATAGATTCAAATCTATTCTCTAGATTCCCCATATGAGGCAAACTCAGATTAATTAATGTTTCAGTATCCTGTTATTTCAAAAATACCTAGGTATTAAAAATTATTATTACTAGAGGCCCGCTGCATGAAATTCATGCACAGGTAGGATCCCTAGGCCTGGGCGGTGATCAGGGCTGATCTGTGGGGCGACTGGCGGGGCGATCGAGGGGCCCCTGAGAAAAGTCTTGAGCACGTTCTGACATGCTGTTGGTATTCAGGAGTTTACACACGTGCCAAATGGCAGTCACCCCAACTAGACTGTTAAGACAAACTGGAATTTATATTGGGAATACAAACACTCTCAACCTGCATAACCCAGAGTAAAAGTGTCAGACCCTTTCTTGAAATAAAAATGCTACTGAGATTAATGCATATCATTTCCTCCCCAAAGCAAACTGGTTTATTTAATTCATTCAACAGATATTTATAGAGAGCACCAAGAACATGGGCATTGATGATTTAGCGGTAACAAACCACAACACAGACCCCACTCCCTATGAGCTAACACTCAAATGAGAAAAAATATTAATGGACATTTACACTTCCAATCAGGATGGAGTAACAGGGACCAGATTTACTCTCCCACCTGAAATAACCAAAAAAGAAAAACAGAAATAACACACAAACCAATGGACATCAGGTAACAAAAGACAGTGATCCTGTGGGGTGGAAAACAAACTTCGTGAGGCTCACCCACTGCCCCGAGGGACTGTCCAGGCTGCACAGGGAGGGGCAACCCAGGCAGAAGCAGTGGACTCAGGTGCAGGGGACAGAGGCGAGGGCGCAGGGAGAGCAAGGCAGCAGGAACTGGCAGGTCAGAGCACTGAGAGGAGACAGCTGCAGAGAGCTGTAGAGGGACCTCTCCTGATACTGGCCTGGTGTCAGGAGAGGTCCCTGCACACTCCAGAGGACACCTGCTGATGAGCATGCAATGAGGCTGGAACAGCACTGAGCACTTACACAGGTACCTGCTCCCACCAGATAGATGGGAAAACTCATAATTCATAGGGCATGGGAAACTCTTTCCTTAGTCCTGTGACATAGTTTGTCCCACACTGAGCCCTCTTCCAGGCCTGCCTATAAATTACAAAAGCAAGACCCATAAAGATCAAACTATTTCCAAGTAACTTAACTGCATCCCCAAACAAAAGTAAAGAACATTTGTAATACATACCCAGTACCCAATGAGATAGAATTCACAATGTCTGCATTCCAACAGAAAATTACAAGGCATGCAAAGATGACTCCTATTGAGCAATTATATCCAGAATTTACAACAAAACTCTCAAAACTCAAAAATAAGAAAGCAACCCCAGCTTAAAAAAATTGGCAAGATAGGGAACCAGGATGGCAGCATAGGTAAACACCTGAATTTGCTGCCGCGCACAACCACATTAAAACTACAACTAAAAGACAAAATGAATATCATCCAGAACCACGGGAAGGCTCGCTGAGTGGAAATTCTACAACTAGAAGGAAAGAGAAAAGCGCATTGAGTCTGGTAGGAGGTGCAGAGGTGTGGAAGTGTGGAGGTACAGAGGCACGCGAAATGGGCTGGCAGCTGGGTATGCTGTTGTCTTTTTCAACCAGGATACAAGTTGAGATACAAGTTCCCAACTGCTCTGAACTCCAGTTATGGGTGAGAATTTGGGGACCCAGACTCATACGGAGAGAAACTGAACTGTCTGGCATCGGGCCGGAACATAAGGGCGGCTTTCTTGCAGAGGTGCTTGCAGCGTTCACTGTTCCTGCATGGGGCCACGGGACACAGAGACCCAGGGGCCTATCTGGGACAGAGCCGATGGCAACCATTGCTGTTTGCACCGCCTGGTGATTCGCTGAGACCTCGCCCCACACAATTGACAACCCCACCCAAGCTCTGTGCAGAGGCTTTTGCATACTAATGGCCTGGCCTTTCTCCACCTAAAAACCTGTCAAACTGTAGCTGGGTCAGAGAACCCCAGAGCTTCCAAAAGAAGGCCTAAGGCTCGTCAGCAGCCTGCATTGCTTCACAGCTGTGCCTCATCTGGGCACCTCCAAACCCCAAACAAAGAGGAGGAATCTGCAGATCTCTCTGTAGCTCTTGCTGGGTGGTCTCAGGCCATGGCTGACTTTGCACCTCCTTGGAGATCCAAGAGCCAGTCTATCCAGTGGTCAGAGTGAGACCATCCAGATTACACACTTCACATCCATAAGAGACACACTCGGGGCAGACTCAGTGAGTGCCAAAGCCCCACTGAAGCAAGGCCTACCCCATAAGGGTGTCTCCAGCACAGAAGTTCTCCCATTGTAGACACAATTGGTCCTCAGAGCCAACTGACCTGGAGGTCAATTCCTCCCAGTGATACCAACAGCAATCAATGCTTAACTACAACAAGACTGTGCACACAGCCCACAAA